AGGAGGAGGAGGAGGAGAAGAAGCACAAGAAGAGGACCAAGCAGCAGTGGAGGGTTGGAGGAGGGAGTTGGGGTCTCTGAGCTGAGATCATCTGCTGCTTCATACTTACTAGGTTCTTACAAGGCGCCACGCCCTGACAGCACGGAGGCAAGCACACACAAAGGCTTGAGACACACCAGGTTACAGTGCCTGAAATATGGCGGCTTCATAAAAGTGACAGAGCAAACAAGGAGGCGGCGGAGGAGGAGGAGGAGGAGGCTGACCTGTGCGTGGACCAGAGCGTCGTTGAACAGGATGAACCAGTTGACGGAGAAGCGTCCGGCGTTCTGCAGCGTCAGAGCTTTGTTGCTGCTCTCGCAGATCAGCCGGCGGTGAGGCTTCCTCAGAGAGTCCTGCAGGGACACAAGGACGCCGATCAGAGAGGAGTCGGCGAGGACGGACGGCTCGGCAGGAACGCGCTTACCGTCATCTTGCCGGGGAAGCTCTTCCAGAAGTTAAAGGTGTAATCCGCCTCTTTCCTTTTTCTCTTCAGCTGCAGGGTCAGAGCTTCGAACTTGGAGCAGCTGTCCTGCAGCTTCTGGTAGTCGCTGGAGCTCTGAAAAGACGCAAAGGAGCAGGAGGTCAGGAGAACGAAGCCTCCACATCTGAACGTTTAAAGTCCTGGAAGTCTATGGCAACAACACAACCCACTGAAGTTTACACAGCCTGCAGTTCAGTTGAAAATTTTATAATGTTAGAATGCTGGTCACAGTTGAGTCTCAAAAAAGCAAAAATAAAAGTTTAATTTCTTTAATTATTTATTTTACAAAAGTCGAAAAAAACTTGTTCAACATTTTTACAACACTGGAAAAATTCTGGCTCGACATACTTTAGATATTTTAGAACTTCGTGAGCTGATGAAAGGATTTTTTTCAACAGTTTTTATTCACAGGATTTTCAGCTTTCCAACAGTCCTTAAACGCATCTGTTACTTTCTGGAAAATTTACCAAAAACATTTTCTTCAAATCGCTACATGCCTCGTTTAAAAATCTGTCAAAAATAAACCGTTTCCATGAACCAGATTCTGTAAAAAACAAATAATTCTGTGTTCATCGGCCCAACTGTGGAGCCATTAATGATCTGACTGCGACCTACAGTCACATTATTAAAATTGAGGGAGTTTCGTCTGAACTGCAGGCTGTGTCTGCACAAAACAGCACGGAAACAAATTAGAAAAGTGTCCCGTTCACTCCGGTTGACTTTCAATTTATGTCAAATAAATAAAAAATCGAATATGTGAGTTTATATGTCATAAAAATCAATGCCAACATCAAAAGAGAGACAGGTACGACTGCCTCCACCTACCACTTCGAAGCAGGTGGCCAGTTTGAGCAGCAGCCGGCCGTACTCGTGAAGGTGGCGGGTCGGGAGGTAGAACAGCGCCACCAGGAGGTCGGCCATGACGGGGTTCTCCTCGCTGCACTCCGACAGCTTCTGGATGAGCTCGGGGCTCTTCCCAAAGAAGTCTCTTTAGGAGAAATTCACACCGGATGTTAGAAATCAGTCACTTTTTCCACATTTACAGACGTGTTCCTGAGTGTTTTTGGCTGCTGCGTCACACAGAAAGTGTGTTTTAAATGTGTGTGTTTGTTTGTACTCACAGGGACGGTTTGGTCAAAGCCTGGAAACCTCCCATCACCTGGAAGTGTCCGACGGCGCTGCAGTAACTTGATAAAGCGCGTGAAGTGTTAAAACACAGTAATAATCAGGCAGTAGTCAGCATGTTTCATATTAACCCTCTGAACTGAGTGTTTTTTGCTCATTTTTTTTTCACTGTGGCTCATTTTTCACAGCAATATAAAGTCCTGCACCTCGATGGAAACAGAACAACCTCGACTGGAAGGAGAGAGAACTCAGAAATGTCTTCTGTGCAGAATGACACAGTTAGAATGCAATAAATCGCTAAAAAACAACAAATAAAAGCTTCATTTGTGATTTTTAGATTTAGAAAAAATGCAAAAAATAAATTTTCCAGGTGCACACAGATGTTTGTCAACACTGGAAAAAAAATATGGCGGCTATAAATACTATAAATATTTCATTATTTACATTTTTAATTTGTTTCCAGACTCGTCTCCTATCTGTTCTGTGGAAACACTGCCTGCAGTTCAGCCGAGTAATTGAATTTTTGTTTTTGGCTTCTCAGATGTGCAAATGAGCGCAGAATTTTTAGTTGTTTTACAGAATCTGCTTAGAAATGGTTAATTTTTGTCAAATCTTTAAATGAGACGTAGAATAAAAAAATGATTTTGATTAAACATTCTGATTTTTTAGCTTCGATTTGGGTGTTTTTCATGACAAAACTAAAAGTTACACATGAAGACTGTTGCACAATTTAAAAATGTCATGTTTATTTTTTTGTTTTTTACAGTTTTGGTGATTTATTAAAAAATCAAGTTGCCTTACAAACCCTGTAGGTACATTTTAGGGTTAAGCGGGTTAATAAATCTATAAATATTCACAGAAACTTGACAAAAAGTCTCTAAATTTTTGTCGAGTGACTGTTGGTCACAATTGAGTCACCAATGGTCTCTCGGTTGTGCAGAGTTATTCAGAATTTTTAGTATTTTACAAACTCTTGTTTCTGCAAACAATTTATTTTTGGCTAATTTTCAAATGAAACATATAGAATAAAGTGATTTTGATGAAATAGCACAATGTTAAGCCTCGAGTTGGTTCGTTTTCTAACAGAGACGCACATCACACATGGCTAAATCAGGTTCAGAGGGTTAATACGTCCATAAATAATCAGACACGTACTCGTTGTAAGAGTCCAGGAAGATGCCGGCGAGGTCGAGGATGAGCAGGTTCTTGACCTCTCGGCCGCGGCGCAGGTTGGCGGTGAGGCTGGCGGCGTGCTGCCCGGTCAGGTGACACAGCAGGCTGAAGCGACCCGCCAGCGTCTGCAGGAGGCCGAGCACCACCTGCCCGAGGGCGGAGCTCAGAGACTCTGTGACCAAAGGGAAGGAATTCAGCCACAGAAAGACGAAAGCGGAGCCGCTTCTAAAACCTCTCTGTGTGTAACGTTACCCAGCTCCAGCAGGGGGCGGATGATCTGAGACTTGATGCTACACAGCCGGCAGTAGAACTTCCTCTCGGCGGACGCCAGCTCATGGAGGCTGGCGATGAAGCCCATCACGTTCCGGTCCGACAGCGCCACGCAGCGCCGGCCGCCCGCACACACACTGCTCACGTAACCCAGCTGAAAATATACACAAATAATCATTTCCTCATCCTGTGAACAAAATGTCACGTGAATTAAATCATCTGGATTAACTGAATAAATGTTGGATTCTATGATGTTTTTATGCATATTTCAGAATCACAATCAGAATCAGCTTTAGTGGCCAAGTGTGTACACAACATACAAGGAATTTGGAATGAGCAAGGAGAATAATAGAAATAGGAAAATAAAAAATAAAAATAAAGTAAAATAACTATAGAAAGAAAAAAATAAAAAATAAAATAAATTCTAAAAAATAAAATCAGATAACAAATCTGTCCAAGAATTTACACAACTAAGCAGAAAAAAATAATTTCCATAGGTTGTGGCGAAATCTAGTAAGAGACAGTTATGAGCTGAGTGTAGCAGAGCTGCATATAGAGATACTAGAAAAGCATTGTGACACAACTAAAACAGTACTTTTCTCCTCTATTATTAGTGTATTAATACTTGAAGACCACAGTGTTTTAACCCTCAGAGGTCTATTTAAAAAAGTAGCTCACAGGACCTTAAATACAAAAATTTCAGCATCAAAAAAAATAAAAAAAGCCATAAAATATTAGTATAAATCTAATTTTCCATTTTCACTCTTTTTTCAAAAAAAACTAACATCAGTCATGACCATAACAAATAAATATTCTTCTGTTTTCAAGATTTTAACTCTTTAAATCCAATTTTGTTTACATGATGTCAATGTTGCTTTTAATTAAAAAAAAGAAAAACACAATTAAAAAAAAAAAATTTTTACTATCACAGTCAGTAACGACATCAATTTTAATGCATTTTTATTTTTTTTTTACATTTTCAGATTTTTGCCTTTTCCTGATTTGTTTAATTTAAAAAAATTAATGAAAACAAAGCCAGAAGAATATTGTTTATTAATATTATTTTCTACTTTTAGAAAGTTAGATAAAAAAATAATAAACAGTAAAAGACTTTAATATTCCACCAGCTCAGATGTCAAACATAGTACAAAAAATGACCAAAAACAATCTCTGAAAAATCCAGTAATTTTTCATATATGAAACATATTTTATTCAATATTTTATTACCTATTAAGTAAATTGTAATCAAGTCATTAGTTCTTTGATTATCAGCTACTTTAAAAGCGCAACTAGCTTTACAACTACATAGTTTGTACATGTAACAGATCATAACACTGAAATCAGGAATTTATTAAGACATTTACAGGATTTTGAAACTTGAATCTAAACTCTTTATATGCAGTGAAACTATCAGGTAATAAAAGTTACTATGATGGATTTCTGCTCAGATTTACAGTCTTATTAACTTCACTGTGATCTGACTGATTTAAATAAAAACTATAAATCTGTCTTTGTAACATAAAACAGATGCTGCCTTCTTTATTTCCTGTCGACATCATGAAACCATTTAAAAGCAGAACCAGAAATAACCTCCGGTGACTCACGTTCATGCAGAAGGGCAGCAGCACCGGCTGCTGGGTGTAGCCTCCCGTCCTCTCCTGCTCCTCCTCCGCCTCCTCCGGCCGGCTCGCCTCCTTGGCCTGGTCCTCCTCCTCCTGGTCCTCCTTCACCTGCTGCCCGCTGTAGTAGATGATGGGCTGGATGCAGTCGCCGTCGGCCAGCAGCAGCGTGTGCCTCTCGCCGGCGCTCACGTCCCAAACCCGGATCCCCTCCGACAGCTGCAGGAAGGAGGCAAACACTCACAGGTGAGAAACATCGAGGCTTCGTGTTGAGTGAAGAAGGCCGGGTGGCGTCCTCCTGACCTTGGCGAGTCGGGGGACGGTGCTGGGAGAGTCCATGTGTCCGAGCTGACCGGAGCTGTTGCTGCCCCACGAGAACACCTGGAAGGTAGAAGCACACAAACACAAGTCAGCTTTTCTGTGATAAATCTGCTTTATTTAAATGTCTGGCTGAGCTTAAATGAGACTTTCTCCAGTATTATTTGGTGAATTTTGCCTTAATTTGACAGCAGGTTTCTGCAGTTTTACACAGGCCAAAGAATAAACGTATTAAGAGAACCAGAAGGGATGATATCCAGTGGAAACCAGAAGTTTATATCCACAGTATAAAAAGACACATAAGCTTGTTTTTCTCACTGTCTGACTTTAAATCAGACTAAACTTTTCCTGTTTTAGGTCAGTTAGGACTACCAACATTTTTTCTATTTGCTATTTTTAGAGATTTTTCTTCTTGCTTTCTTCAGAAGTTTACATCCACTAAGATCCTTCAAACTATTTAGGAAAGCCCAGATGATGATGTCATGTCTATGGAAGCTTCTGATTGGTTAATTGACAACAACTGGAGGCACACCTGTGGATGTATTTTAAGGCACACCTCAAACACACTGCTTCCTTTAGTGGCAGCATGGAAAATCTAAAGAAATCAGCCAAGATATCAGGAAGACAATTCTGGACCTCCACTAGTCTGGTTCATCCTTGGGTACAGTTTCCACATGTCTGAAGGTTTCATCTGTACATTCTGTTCTCTCTCATTATTTTGGCATTTAGCAAATAGAAACAATTCTGGTAGTCCTGACTGATATAAAACAGGAAAAGTTTGGTCTGATTTAATGTCAGACAGCGAGAAAAAAAAGGTTGGATGTAAACTTCTGGTTAAAGCTGTAGATGATCTGAAAGGCCTAATATCTTTAAACAATAAAAATAAAAATGAAAAACACAAAAATTACACCATTTATCCAAATTAAAAACTATAAAAACTGAAAAAATACTCAGTTTTACATCTTTTCAATGATCCTTAAATGTATTATCTGTGATGCGCCGTTTCCCCAGAAAAATTATCCACATTTAAGCTTAAAATCGTGATATTTAATCAAAATCACTTTACATGTACGTCTACATTCAGACAAACCAGATTCTGTACAAAAAATAAATAAAAAGATCTCTGTGCCTAATTGCAGCTGTGACGTGTGACAAAAATGTTGTGTTTTTTTTAAAACTCGTGCACACTTTATTTAACGACACATTTAACTTTGGTGGTAAACATGCAGAAAACTGTTTCTCAACTGCTGCAAAATAACAAAAAACTCCCAAATCTGACATGAAATCTTCATGTTTTGATCACTGTTATCAAACTGTAGTTGTGGAGAAAATGTTGTGTTGTTTAATATTAAGATAAACTTTATCGATGCTTCACCAGGAAATTCCCAAACATGACGTAAACCAACACAAAAAAATACAGAAGAAGAATAAAGCCACAAATAAAGATAATAAAGGCGATACACACTTTGTAGACCTTTCACATGTACAGATGTTATTTTTAACACCTATATTTAAAGGTTTTGGTGTAACAATCTGACTGACTGACCTGAGACTGAGCCGTCACAGCGAGGGAATGATGAGCGCCGGCCGCCACGCGAACAACCTCCTTGTTGTTCAGACTCTTGATGCAGAGCGGCTGCAGCCTGCAAACACACAACACACTGCAGTCAGAAACAACAACAACAAAACAACTGTGTATATTTGCATGAAAGTACAGAATCCTGATTTAAAGACATATTTTATTGCTGTGAGCTTTGAACAGAAGATTTTCAAGGTGCAGATGACGGTAGATCCAGACATTTAACCAACTGAACAGGTTTGAAAAGCATCTTATCTCTAATAAATCATCAAAATTACATCATTTATTAGAGTCAGAAGCTATACGAACATAGAGAATGATTGGATTTCCAACTTTCTAACCATCCTTGAACTTCTCATTTCAGTCAACGTAAACAAATCTCAGCTCAAAATCTTGATATTTCATTCAAAATCACCTTAATCTACGTGTCGCATTTAAAAAAATTGCCACAAACTAATTGTTCGAATTGAGAAGTTTTGGTAAAAAAACAAAAAAATCTGCACTCTTGGAGGGAACCGTGAAGCTAATAGTGACTCAGCTATGACCGACGGTCTCGTGACTAAAATTCAGAGACTTTTCCGCTGAACTGCAGAATGACAAGTATAGAAACGAATTAAAAATGTAGTAAAATATTGAATATTTGTAGAATCACCGTGTTTTGTTTAGTTTTTTTCCCAGTGTTGGTAACGGCTGAGGAAACTTGGAAAAATGTAGGTGCTGATTCCATGTTTTTAATTTGTAAAATATATTAATGTATAAAAAAGGATTTTTTATGTTTATTTCTGTCATTCTAACCGTGCCCTTCTCTACAGAAGACATTTCTAAATTCCCTCCACTTCTAGTCGTGGTTGTTCTGTTTCCATGGAGGTGCAGGACTTTATATTTGTAGCTAATAAGAGCAATAAAATCTTTTATTTTGTGTCTCAAAACAGAAAAATTAAATGTTACCTTTATAAACACATAGAGGATGGTTTTCTTTGTTTTTGTTTCATGCTTTCTGTCTCTAAAGTCCAGTCTGAGCCCAAACCGTTGGGTTTTTATGCTGTAATGAAGAACAAAGGTTCATGACGTTCCTACCTGGCCACGTTGTCTCCGTGGCCCAGCTGGCCGTGCTCCCCGTGGCCCCAGCTCCACACCTCTGTCTGCAGGGAGGGCAGCACCTCCTGGGCGGCCGGGACGGATCCTCCCAGCGGGCTGAGCGCCACCGCTCGCATCCGGGGCCGACCGGCCTTCCTCAGCAGCCGCGGGGAGACTGTCGGGGGTTCAGAGAAAAGCTGCAAATTTGCATGTTTGAGAAGCTCCGACGAAAGCTGGAAGGATTCGTTAGTTAGCCGACAACCTTAAAACTGACGATTCTGAGTAAATAAAAGTCTAAATTCTCTGATTGCAGCTTCTTAAATGTGAACATTCTCTGGTTTCTATCTTTGTCTACCAGAAAATACTTGAAAATCTTTGCTAGATTTATTTAGATTGTTTATTTTGTTTAAAGAAAATCTGCAACTTTTCGCATTTGAGAAGCTCAAAATACAGCTGGACAGATTCAATGATAAGCTGTCAATTATCAAATTCATTGGTTTGAGTAATTTTAAGTAAAAAAAAAGTCTAAATTCTCTGCTTATAGCTTCTTAAATATGAAGGTTTTTTAGGTGTATTTCCTCTTTTATCAGATAACTCTTAAAAAGCTCACTACAGTTTCATAGATCACAGTTTGACGTCTTCAGGTTTTAGTATTTTGTTGAAAGAAAATCAGCAAATTAAAAATAAAAAAAGCCCAAATTCTCATGTTGCAGCTTCTTAAATGTGAATATTTTCTTGTTTCTTTCCTCGTCTATCAGGAAATGTTCATCACAGTTTCCTCGATCACAGTTTGACGTCTTCAGATTGTTTTTTTCTTCAAAGAAAAGCAGCAAATTTTTCAAAAAGACATCTAAATTCTCTGTTTGCAGCTTCTTAAATGTGAACATTTCGTGGTTTCTTTCCTCCTCGGTGACAGTAAACTGAACATCTTTGGGTTTTTGAGAAGCACTGATCAACATTTTCAACCATTTTGACATGAAAATAATCAACAATGGAAACAATCAGTCGTTTTTCGCTCATGAATTGTCTTCCAATGTCTAAAAATCACCACACAGACATGATAACATGGTTAAAAAATGGATTTTTAACCAGAGCGGACTTGTTGTTTCCTAGAAAGTGAATGAAACGTTTTCACGCCGAGCGTGTCGGGTGCAAAGTCCAGCGTTAACAAACAGGAAGTGAGAAGATGGCAGCACAAAGACGGCAGGTCAGACGAGCTTTAAACACAAGCTGTCGCACAACAACAGGAAGAAACCAGACAGAACAAACACCGACAGGCTGAATATGTACTGGTGGTGAGCTTGGTAAACACGACTTAGAAAAACACGAGCAGCTTGTGTTTCTGTTATTGTAGAAACCAACAAAGCGTTCTCGGGGCGTTTTTTTTTTTTGCTCCTGTCACATTTTTTCCTCACTGTGGGCTCATTTTTCTCTCCAACATAAAATCCTGCACCTCTGTGGAAACAGAACAACCACGAACAACTCAGAAACCATAAAGAAATGTTAAAAAGAAAGTTGAATTTCTTTATCTATTTTACAAAAACTTGCATTAACAATGTTTTAATACTTTCCCCAGAGCCCACAGATGTTACTAAAGCTAGAAAAACAACACGGTGGCTCCACATATTATAGAAATGTTCCTGTTTACATTTTTAGTTCATTTCCTTACTCGTCTCCTCTCTGCTCTGTGTAAACACTGCCTGCAGTTCAACCGAATAGTCTCTGAATTTTTGTCACATGACCGTTTGTCACAGCCGAATCATTAACGGCTTCACGGTTACAACGAGAAGCTGAGAATTTTTCCTTTTTTACAGAATTTGGTTAGAATGAGAGGTTTAGTTTTGGCAGTTTTTAGTAGTAATTTCTGAGTTCTTTCTACTTCTTCATGGTTGCTGTGTTTCCATAAAGGTGCAGGACTTTATGTTGCAGTGAAATATGACGGGAGCTACAAAACCAAAAGAGAAACTGCTTGGAGATCAGATAGTTAACGTGTCTAACCGACACATATGCGAGTTTTTCGAGATTCTTTGTTGAATTTCCTCGTCAAACTGGATCTTTCGGTTCATCTTGACGTTCGTCTGACCCACAGACAGATGATGAAATCCGCAGCAAACTGTCGGTAAGAGAAGTGAGTGGAGCAAAGTCCAACCGTTTATCTATTCTATACGCCTGATAATTCCCAAACACCAGCTCAGGCCTTTCCCACAATGCACCTTTCTCTCTTAATCACATCTAAAACCTTCATTCTGCTCTATTAAATCTGCTAAATCCTCCCCAGCGCTCTGGCAGGTGGAGAGAAGGTGATAACTCTGACCTGAATGCGACCTCTGTGTCACTTCTGGAGGTAAACTCATAAATGTAGATCCTAAACAATCAGCATTCCTGTGTTGTTGATCTCACAAAGGCGACTGTTCAGACAGAACAACACTCCTCAAAGTGGGCCTTCAAATGCAGCAGAAGTTGATGTTAAAATCCATAATTAGAGGCTGAAAAAGCAGAAATTTAACATCAAAACGGTTCCTTTTCCAGTCGTTTTTTGCGATATTTATTTACTTTCAATAAAATAGCAGATAGAAGTCGATTGCTGTCACAAAAAAAGGCTGCAGTCCTCTCAAACGGCGGCACCGAATGAGCTTTTTGATTGATTAAAAACATCCAAAGTGTTGCTGGAAGTCAATCTGCTTGCAATCAAATTTTGCGATTTTTAGCAAAAAATAAAAAAATAAAAAAACGACATGTAGAAACATGTTTATCAGAGCAAAGAACTGTAAAAAACAAAAAATTCATTACTTTTTTTACTTCCTGGTAATCCTTGAATGTGTCGTATGTGCAGTCTGGTTCCATCAGGAAAAATCTAAATAAGCTGGAAGTTATGGGATTTAATAAAAATCACTTTATTCTACATGTTTCAGTCAAAGACATTTCCAAAATAAACCATCTACAGTGTTTAGATTCTGTAAATAATCAATAAGCTTCTGTATTGAGCAGCTTTACATTGATTTTTGATTGTTTTTACAGAATCTGGTTCCAGCAAATGGTCTACTTTTGGTGAATTTTTAAATAAAACAGGCAGAATGAAGTGATTTTAAGTAATATCTTGATTTCAGGCTTAGATGTGGTTAACTTTCCCACCAGAACCAAACGTCACACATGATCAGGACTCACAGCAAGTTGAATATCTGAGTTTATTTTTAGTTTCTACAGTTTCTTGCTTTGCTAAATGGTGTAATTTTGGTGATTTTTTTGGGGTTTTCTAACCTGGTTTCGTGGCTCATTTCTAAAACAACTTGTGCTGCATTCAGGGACAGTAAAGACAAACAGACGGAGCATGCCCACAAAAGCTGCGCGACGAAGCCTGAAGCGAACACACAGCGACATCGACCTGCACATGCGCAAGGTGTACTTACGCAGCAGGGCATAGGAGGAGGATAAGAGGTGAACAGCGTATCTACCCTGAGAGAGGAGTCCTGGCAGCGAGAGGCGACGCCGCAGACCTTCAGCTTCCTCCTCGCGGATGTCTCCGGTGCTGGAGCTCTTCTTCGCCTGCACCGAGTCCTCCTGGCGGACCCGCTCAGTGCTGTTGTCGCCCACGCTGCCGCCGCCCCCCGACCTCGCCGCCGTCGAGGGCAGGTAGAAGGTCATCATCTTTTTTAGCGACAGAGCCTCGTAGGTGGAGGCGACCCGCTCGCCCACGGCGGAGGCGCAGGAGGCCACCAGGTTGTTGAGCGCGGAGGTGGGAGCGGAGGAGCCGAGTGCTGCCGCCGAGGGCTGGAAGAGACGCAGCAGAGCCAGGAGTAAATAATACAGAACATCAGACGTCAGTGAGCGATGATGTTCCTTCCTGACCACAGCAGCAGCAGAAGACCTGAAATCTGCTTCAGCTGGTTTGACAGTTCAGTCGAGCAAAAGCTCATCTCACAAGTCAACACTTTAGAGGAGAAAATCTAAATTTGGTCCAGAAACAACATTTAGATCTAAAAAAAGATTCACTGAACGCTTCAGTTTTCTTATTTTAGTTTGCAATATTCCTCTGAAGCCCAAAAAACACAACAGATGTGTTTAAAAGGCGAGTTTTCTTTTTTAAAAAAGGGCCAAAATTACATTTATCAGAGCCTGAAACTGTGAATCATCAGACTTCATCTTTGTGACAGTCCCTAAACTTTTCATCTGAGACGTGCCAATCAGTCGGAAATCAACCAAATCACTTTAATCTACATGTCTCCTTTAAAAACTCTGTGCTCCTCATCGCAACCCTGAAAAAAAAATATATCTCTAGAGTCTATGTGGGATCAAAACAGGCCATTGTTACCCTGTAATGAAGAGAAAAGGCAAATTAAAGTGATTTCAATATTAATTTTGACCCATAAAATCACAGTGAATCGAATTTTTAAGAAAAACTGGTGACAAAAAGGGAACAACAGAAAAAATCTCCTACAAAACAAGTGAGTTGGTTGGTAGGCATTCAGCACCACAGAGGTCTTTGTCATGGTGCCCCTTTACAGGCTAAATTAAACTGCAGACAAACCACGTAATCGGGTTTCAAGTGAAGTAACTCAGTGCTGTGTCAAAACCATGTATCCAAAAATCTATGAAACTGGAAGTGAATCGGAAATAAAACGCGTCAAGGAGATCCTGCTGCTTCTGCTCATCTCAGTTTCCTGATTTTAATTTGAAACGTGCTGGCTGCTTTATATATTGTAGGATTACAAATTACTGGGTGTCTTTTGGTTCTTTTGTCGTCCTCTGCTTTATCAGTTAACACGTTTTTAAATCAGTAACGTTAATCTTTCCCACCAGCAGACTGTGCAGCCCTCCGGCCGTCTTCGTTTCTGCCTGCGTGTTGTCCGACAGTTTCTTCAGGTAATCTTTGACCGCCTGTTCGTCTGGATACGGTGAGTTCTTGATCGCAGCAGCAGCGCTGCCAGAACCGTTGGACCGAGCCGAGGCGTCCGGATCCGAGGTCGGCAGCTCTCCGTTTGCCACTGACGCTCCATCTTTCTGGGAGTCCTGAGAGTCGGAGGGCTCGGTGGAGGGTTCGGCACTTTTGGCAAAGGAGGTGGAGGTGTAGGAGGGCAGGACCGTCTCCGATGGGGAGGTCTTCAGGCCCGGCGTGGGTGTCGGCGCCTCCAGCCGGCCCTCGTCCTCCGTCAGCTCCACGCCCAGCGGGCAGTAGTGTCCGTCTGAGATGATGACGTGGTCCTCTTTGTCCGTCATGGTGTAGAGCAGCTGATTGCACTGATTGCATTTATCGACAGGCGGCCGCTGGACGTCCTGAGGACCCGGGCAGCGCACCAGAGCCAGACTGTGCGACGCCCCGCAGGCCACCTGCAGCACACACCTGCCCGCCAGGTGCTCCACCTTCTGCGGCTTCCAGACGGGGAAGACGGCGGCGCTGAGGCCGAGCTGGCAGCCGCTGCCCCACGCCCAAACCTCCCGCTGCACCGACAGCGCCAGGGTGTGCCGCTCGCCGCAGGAGACCTCCAGCACCGGCACCGTCTGCGGGGGGCTGCGGTCCGAGTCCAGCAGGGCCACTGGAGTCGGGTTGGGGACGGTGCTGAGGCCCGACAGGCCGCACTGTCCGGCGCCGTTGTCGCCCCACATGTGGACGCCGCCGTCCTCCGTCACCGCCCCGCTGTGGAAGCTTCCGGCTGCGACCACGACCACCCGCTGCCCACTGAGCGCGCTCTCCAGCGTCGGTTTGGCCGGCTCGGGCACCTGACTCTGTTTCCATGGCAACTCACCAAAACTGTACACCTGTCCTCCTGAAAGGGAAAAAAAGGAACATGTCAGTTTCCTCTCTTCTACTTTTTTTCCAGTGAAAATAGATTTACTTAAATCTACAAACATGAAACAGCTAGTTTTAAATTGTTGTTATAAATAATTTTCTGACTACAAATATATGAATTGATAACAAAGCAGACGAAGGACATGCAAGTCAGAAAATAAATTGTATGCTAGCTGTAGTACCTGGTTGTTCCACCAGGTGGAGCCTCTTACTGTTTAATACTGTAGTGACCAAAGGAGGCATCACTCAGACTACAGGCAGCTCATGTTGGCAAGCAGAGAGCATTGTGGGAGTTTAGCTATCTACCGGCACCATGACAAAGATGTCTGACGCTATGATGAGCCAGCTGCATTTTTAACCACATCGCTTTTGTTCATCAGAAATATATGTGTAACCACATGCAACGCTGTCCTCGAAACAAGAGTAAAGTTCTACCTTCCACCAGCAGGACGCCGTGCCGTGAGCCCAGAGCGACCTGCAGCACCGGCCGGGGCAGGAGCAGCCTCTCGGGGGTGACGCTGTAGGAGTAGCCCCTCCAGGTGTGCAGGAGGCCTCGCTCTCCACCGCCGTCATCCCCAGAGCTGCACGACAAACACAGTCATAGAATTAATAGAACTATACAACACAATCATACTTAGGGTTCTGTTTGAGCATCTGAGAAAGCCTCCAACTTGCTTTTTACAGTGTTTTTCAATTATTTCTTTTTAATTCTGAGTCATTCTTGATTAATTAATTCTTTCCAAATAGAGTTAATTAACAGCTCTGGTGAAACTTCTGGTACTTTTTACATGTTGCAGACAAACAAAATGTCCTATTTCCCAGTATGGTGCAGCTCCAGTCGTGATCTAACGGACAAATCACCAGAATAACTTGACGGACAGCAGTGGAAGTGCACTGATTTAATTCTAACAGTGATTAGAGCGCGTGGGAGGCTGATGAAGCAGAAGTGGACAACGTGTCAGCAGGGCCTCGGCCGGTGCTTCATCTGAACAACAGATGTTTTGTGGGTGAAAGCAGAAGTGGTTTCAGCTCCATCCGTAGGCGATGTCACATGGTGATCACATCCAGCCAAGCAGGCAGCAGCTGAGCAGGATTATCCTCTGCAGGAGGACTTTGAGTGGACCTACCTCTTCCTCTGGGTTTCCATCAGTGGGCTTTACTCCTCCATCTGCGTGTTAGACTCAGGACTGCTGCAGCTGAAGCACAAACACAATCCAAACAAGCTTATCAGCACAACTTTCACCTGTTTGACTGACTGCCAGATGAATTCTGGGGGAAAACCCAGAAGAAAATCCCTGTACTTGAAAGCAACAGGGTGAACAACGAATAAAAGGTCATTTTAATGCGTTTTAAAGCTCATTGACTACATGTCACACTGATAAACTCGGCACACAGCAGCCTGGGGCAGGTGTTTCAACCTGGCTGCAGGTTGATCCATTTTCTAGCTAACATTAGCTAATCAATCCAGCTAACTAGCCTCATCAAGCTAGCACCAACCTCCGGTGTCTCCGCGCTGTTTCCTCCATAAAAACTCTCCTGTTTCTCACTGGCCGGTTCTCGTCAGCTCTCCCGGGGAGTGTTGGCCTCGGCAGGCCGTTAAGTGAGCGGCCCGTCGGCTCTGTGAGCAGCTAACCGCCGCCGCTTGTTGTTCATCCGTTAATGTTGACACACGGAGCGCCGCTAGCGCCGAAGATCGTCTCCTAACGAAGCGACACGCAGACAGGAGGAGTCACTCCGCGGAGAAACCGAGAGAAGCTTCAGGGGACGACTAATTTAAAACTGCTTCATTCAACAGTTAAAAAATCAAGTAAAATAGAAAATTTCAACACAAGAAAAAGTACAGAAATTCCATTATATCCCATATATTAAAATGAATAAATTAAATCCAGTTAATAATATTCACAGGCAAGTATATGTGTGTTTTTCTTTGTCTGTCAGTGACAAATATCTTTCTAAATGTAACGATTATATAATGTTTGTCTATTTGATCTGCATTAATCAATATTAGAGGAATTTGTCTGTTTATTTTTTGTGTGTGTTTGTTTTGTTGTGAAAAATATAATGTGTGATATCTTCTCTTATGCAGATCATTTACAAATGACCGTATTGCACCTTTTTAACTTTAACTATGATTGACGTTAATATCCTTTCAGAATTTCAATGATTTTATAAATGTTCAGAATTAAATCAAACATATGGTAAATTCAATCTTAGATTTTCAAACATAAGACCGAAGTGAGACCTCCTGTCTTGTGCTGCTCTCAGCTGCTCCTCGGATGTTTTGACAGAATCTACGGATCCCGAGAAGAGTCAGGACAGACGGAGCGCGAACATTTAAATACCTTCATCAGTTATGCAACTTTTATTGATCTGAGATTAATGATTGAAGCTGTTTGCCAACAGGTGGTGGACACGAGTGTGATTAAAATCCAGACCTGTGCCTGTGTGTTTATGTACGGTACTGTTTATTGCTGCTACTACAGAATAATAATACTAATGCTAAAATAAATAAATAGATAAATAAATAAATAAATAAATAAAAACTACTACTAACAATAATGGTAATAGAATAGTAATAAAATCATTGGGAAAAAAAACTATACTACCACATTTTTAAAATCTTTTTTTTGAAAAATAAAGACAAATATATCTGCAAAGTAATAATTTTTTCTTTGCTGATGTATAACTTGTAACATTATTTGCAGTTTTGGAGTGTTTGTTGTTGTTGTTTGTTGTTTGTTTTGTTTGTTTGAGGTTGTTTTTAAATGTCATTCTATAAATTAATACCTTTTTTCTATGATTTTACAATTTACTATCTGTACTTCAATAAAACAGTAAAATAACAGTCACTTATTTGTTGATTTAAATCCATTTAAACATATTAATTAAATGTATTCACTAAACATTTACACACACGTCAGTTGTGTGATTTCAAATGTATTTAAGCAAATATTCAAACACATCAATTAAATTATTTACTTTTTTTAATTAAATGCATATAATATTATTAAAACAAGAGTTTACGTGTAAACTTATACTTTTTGTTGTAATTTTGCTCGATAGTCGTTTTCTACCAAAACAGGAAAAATATATAAAATAACTGTAAACTAAAATAAATAAATAAATAAAAAATGTTGAAGACCTTAATTAAAATTCCTTAAGTCTATTAATAAAATACACTAATACATACTCTAATTTAAATTAGTTCCATTTATCAATAATACATTTTTTAAAAAGAAATTAATTAAATTAGATTAATCAAATTTAAACTATTCCCAGCAAGCGCTTTCACATTTTTAGTGTCATGAGGACAAATATGTCTTTAAATGTAATGATTATGTCTGTTTGTTTTGTTTAAAAGGATATTAGAGGGTTATGTGTTGTTATCTGTGTTTTTATTGTAAATATATTGTAGATACTTAAACAGAACTGTTCAGTGACTTTATAACCTCAAGTGTAATTCTTTTGAAAACACACTTTTTCTTCACAGTGCAGTAGTTGGATTGTGGTCAAAACAAGCCATTTGTCATTCTGGGTTTTGGGAAACTCTGTTGGCCTTTTTTTAGCTTCTCTCCTTCCTCCTTGTGCAGCCGGTCGAGTCCCAGCGAGGATCTCAGGCTCTTCCAGTTCACGTCTCATTAGCATCAGATCCTTAATGTGCTGATTCCTGCACTCTGCGTGTCCGACTCCAACCCCAGACACCACTTCATGCAAAATGGAGCTGAGAGTGGAGGTCAGTGGAGGGAACGTGACGCCGAGAGACTGTCGACCTTGATGAAGAGCCTCAGTCGGTCGTCGTCCTCCTCTGATCTGAGCAGAGGAGCTTCATTTGGAGGAAATATTAAATGAGTTCTGCTCGGCTGCGTCTCAGATCTGTGGAGAGAAAACGCACGAAGGAGGACTTTTAATACGATTCACGCCGTAGACGTCAAACATCTTTATTATTCAACACTGTGAAGAAAAGAACGACTCAAAGATATTTAATTTATTGTCTTTAACAGTAGAATTTTTATTCTACAGTTTTTAACCACAATTTGGTGTTTCACAAAAATCACTTTGCATTTAATCAGATTATTGTCACAGAGACACTAAAGCTGTGAATTTATCAGCATTTGAATATTATTAACTTGATTTAATTCATTTTGATTAATGTCTTAATTTATTTAACTAGGAAATCAAACTATTTTTAGTGAATTTATTTAATCATTTATTTAAGAAATTGACCTCATTTAAATCAGTGAGTTTAGTTATTAAATCAACACATTTAAAATCATATTAATTCTTTTCTAGAAGTTTTTTAAAATGTAATTTATGGAACAATTTACTGTTGTTTTGCAGATTTTCCCCATTTTGCTAAATTACAGCACAATCACAGAAAAATTAATAATTTACACTTTAAGCATTTAAAAAAAAAAGGCCAAAGATGGAAATAAAGTCTACACTGAAAAAAATAATCTGTATTTTTTACAAATATAAATCTGTTCTCTTACTATGTTTGACCATAAAATTATATTATTCATTATTGCTTTTAATTAAAAAAATAAAAATAAAAATAATTAATTTCCAGATATTTGCAGGTATTCAAAAGAGAAAATGGTAATTATATGTTGAAATTCTGCTTTGTTAAATAACAGAAAATGTCGGGTAAAATCACAAAGAAAGAAATAATTTACTGTTAATAGTAAAATAAACAAATTTATAAATAAAATAAGGCTAAAACATTATTTTTTTTATATCTATGTAAAGTAGCAAAAACAGCGTTATTTTATAGATATTTGCTGTTATTTGAAAGAAAAAAATAGATTGAATTTAAAAAATGTGATTTTTAAACTGTTATTTTACACATTTTATATGTTTTCTTTTTAATCCCAGATATTAGCGGTAAAATGACCAAAAACAAAGGATTTATTGACATGTTGAACATTAAAAAACAGACCCAAACTGACGATCATGAGTCTGCAAAGCAGAAGATATTTGGTTTAAACAGCATCAGCGAGGAAAAGTTGATCCCACGTCGCCAGCATCTTATAATTATTAAAGATGTTTTTGTGGCTGTTTCCTGTAAAACCAAAAGAAAAAAGTTAAATTAGAGAAACATTCAAGACTCAGTAGTGAAGGAACAACAGCAACAAAGCTGTAAATATACTTTCAAAACAAGAAATCATCATAATCAGCATTTAAAGTTAAAAACACAGCTTATAAACCAGGTTTCCAGCAGCTCCTTTCCCTCTAAAGGCTCACGTCACATCTTCAGCAGCTACTCGCTGATTAATTCAGAAGACGTGTGTCGTCGGCGGATTACATAAAACACAGATGATGTAACAGGTTTCACATTTTTTAAGGTAGATATCATTATTTTTTATTGCAGAGAGTTTATTTATTGGGTATTTGTGACCCAAAACCAAGTTCTGTAAATTATTGATTACTGATTCTAGAGAATTTCATATGAACTTTTGTCCACTAAGAAGCCTGCGAAGCTGTTTTAAGAGTTCAGTATCTCCAGAAAGACAAGACAAGGGTCCAGATTTTTGCTATTTTGAATTGAGACATGACCTAAGACTGTCCAAGATGCCTTGAAATGTGTTAAAAATATAAACAAATGACTCGAGATTAGTTTAAAAATAGCTAAACATGTGTCCAAAATTACTCAAAATTGTCCAAAATGACCTGAAACTTGTTCCAAAACTGGATCTAAATGACTCAAAATCTGTATAAAGAAACTCAGAATTGTTCATAATGACTTTAAAAATGTCCAAAATGACTCAAAATGTGTCAACAGTGACTTAAAATTGTCCAACATGACAATAATGACTAATTATTAGCTCTTGAAAACAGAAAAAAAGGGGATAAATTCCACACAAGGGTGGTGTTGTGGCTCCTGAAAGTTCCTCTAAGTGTAAATCTATGGATGTTCCATGTTTACGACTAAAATATAGTGTTTGCTCGACATTTACTAACTTTTGAGGCTCTAACATCAGTAGAATCTGATGTGTGGCAAGACAAGAGTCAAGTTTTCTCCTATTCTGAGTTGAGAGCTGCCCTAAATGAGCTAAAACTGTCCAAGATGACATGAAACGTGTAAAAAATAAAAACAGAAGACTCAAGATTAGTTTAAAATAGCTAAAAATGTGTCCAAAATGACTCAAAATTATCCAAAATGACCTGAAATTTGCTTAAAATAGCATGAAACTGGATCTAAATGATTCAAAATCTGTATAAAAATGACTCAAAATTATTCAAAATGAATCAAAATGGTCCAAAATGACTCAAAATGTGTCAACAGTGACTTAAAATTGTCCAAAATGACAATAATGACTAATTATTAGCTCTTGAAAACAGAAAAAAAGGGGATAAATTCCACACAAGGGTGGTGTTGTGGCCCCAGAAAGTCCCTGTACGTGTAAATCTATGGATGTTTCCATGTTTACAACTAAAATATAGTGTTTGGTCGACATTTCACCAACTTTAGAGGCTCTAACATCAGTAGAATCTGATGTGAGGCAAATACGGATTGTTCCTATTATGAGTTGAAACATGACCAAAAACTGTCCAAGACAACTCGAAACGGGTTAAAAATAAAAACAAAAGACTCAAGATTAGCTTAAAATAGGAAAAAATGTGTCCAAAATGACTCAAAATGGTCTAAACGTGCTTAGAAT